CCTCCCGCCCGGCCGCGGCTGCTCGGAGGCAACAAGTCAGTCAGACGCCGATCGATCGCTGCAACAATCCAGGCCGGCCTAGGAAAATATAGTTACAAAGAAACCAGCGGTGTCTGCCAAACTCCCGAGCGAGTGGTGCGCGACGGGAACAATACCCGAACCCAGGCCTCCTCTCTAGACACACACTCACATACACACACTCACACACACGCCTAGATCCCCAAACACACAGATGCTGCCCGGGCGCTGGGCATGAGCGCCATCACACGGGAACCCCCACGCAAACACGGAGAAATGTTACCGAGAGTGCCACCCGCGCCGAGGCCATTCCCGTGGTCTGAGGTCTACCACTACAGCCGGACTCACAGATGCGCCCTGCGCGGCCAGACGCGGGCACACACACTCGATACACAACTGTATCTCTACGCCTTTGTAGGCACTCTCATTACAGCCGCACAACTACCCGATCCTGCCTAACTCGATACAATCTAGATGCACAAGCAAAGCCAGACAGCTAGACACTCACAATGGACACAAGTAGCGCTGGCCCCTCCAGCCGCTCACTCACGCAGGTAGCAGGGCTTGCACCTGACGAAAGTCCTGGCTCAGACACACAGTTACATCTCCACACAGACACAACTGTTTCGCGCACCTAACTCATACACTCGACCTATGCTAACACACAAGCACAGCCTCTCACCCTAACTTCATCGCGCCTTTATTTCCACTTGCAACTGCACACACGCGGGCAGCCCGGCCCAGGTGACCCCACCGCGGAGCAGGGCCCCGGGCCAGGCCTCCCAACCGCTACAGTCCCTCCCCAGGCGGCCCGCGAGTCCCAGACTTTGTTTCTCGCTACTCGAGGCGGGACGGGGAGGAGCCGAGGTTCCCAGGGCTGCGCGCAGGCCCTCGCCCCCTTTCTGCCTGGCCCGCTTGGCGCGGCGCTCCGCCTGCCACAATCCGCCCCTAGCACAAAAGTGGCCCGGCAGGTTCCGGGCGGCCGCCAACGCTCCCGCTCCGGCTCGGCTTGGCTGCCAGCAGCAGAGTCAGAGGGAGCTAGGGGCACCGGGCAAGCAGAACAAAAAGCAGAGAGGGGTAATGTCCCCCGGGGTCGGGGGTCCACGGTTTCTCCCACACAGGGAGTTTCGGGTGCCTTGAACCCCTGGCCCGCCTGCCGGGCCCTGGGGCGCGCGGAGGAACAGGATCCCCTGCTCGAAATGCACGCTGAACCCACGTGTGCCTCACAGGAAGGAGAGTGTAGCGGGGCACACAGCGATACACATTCCTCTTGACTCTCTCAGGGAAATGCAGGCTGAGAACCCACACCTCTCCTCTCCCCAAGTCCACTAGGCACACGGGGACGCACAGGGACGGCCCTCAAGTAGTCAGCACGCGAGCAGGACGCGAGTGAAACGTACACCACGTCCCGGCTCCGGGTAAAGGCAGGACACAAGGCTGCGCGCCTGCGGTTCGCCATGTTCAGGGAGGAACGCAGAGCCTGGCCCTCGATGCCCACAGAGCCCTGCCAGGGGCATCCAGGCCTGGCACCCATGAAACACGACAGAGGACCCAGACCTGGGACGCGGCTCCCACGCACCCCTTGCCCAAAAGGCTGCAGCCCAGCCCGCGCGCATTGCGAAGGGGACGCGGTGGTAAGGCGCGCGCGCCCGCACCCTGCCCTGCGCCCCGCGCCCAGATAGTCATCGTGGGATGGCATCTCGCAAATATTTATATTCCTCAGCGCCACGGCAGCCCGCGTCCACATTAGACGCTCTAATCCTGCCACTTTAAATAGATGAATTAATAAAGCAAACGAGCGGCTAATAAGCTGACTGTCCTGCCTTTTGGAGGTGGGGGAAGGACTCGAAAGTGCGCCAAATTTGTTTGCAGTGGATCAAGGCGAGCCGCCTCTGCTTCACTTTCTTTATCTTAATTCCGACTTGAAAAGATATAATTATCTAGTTTGAACAGAGCTGCTATCAAATCCTTCTTTGGGCCGGGAAGGGGGGCGTTGGAGTGGATTGCGGCCCTCTGAGCCGCTCGGTGCAGCCGGAGATAGCGCGTAATGAAGATGTGGAGGCCTGAGATACAAAGGGCATTAACCTCATTAGCATGAAACCTTTTCTTCTTACCATTGTGGGACCCTTTCAGCCGCCTAATCCCCCCTATTTTCAAAGCTTGGTTTGTAATAAAGCTTTTAGGTTTTTTTTCCCCCCAAAGCTAATGGTATTCTCTGATGATTTTATTGCTGTTACACTACATAGGACGTTTACAAAAAAATCTTTGTCACCCTCCCCCTTTTCTTGCACTTAAAAAAAAAAGTGTATGGTTCTGCAGAAATAAACCTTTTATCAAATTGGGGAATTTTCTTCTGGAAAGGTCAGTCTGAATTTTAGCAGGTCCGTGCTCCAGTTGGAGGAACTCTGGGTTTGGGCGAGTGGGTAGAGGAAAAGGTAACTTGTTTAGACAAAGGCATGCGACGCGATACTGAGTGCAGACCGCTGGGACGGCCATCCCGCACTGAGGTCTTGCTGTCAACCCGGCTGGGAACCCCACTTGAGTTTCCAGGATACCCAGCGCAGCACCTGTCCCTTCCAGAGACAAGCCTGGGTCTCCTGAGGCCGGCCCCCTCTCACCCCAGCAACCTCCTGCACCAAAGTCGCCCCACAACATATACACAGTCCCAGAGGAGTCTGCGTGAAAATTAGCACCCTGAACAGCCAGGGTTCTCGAGAGGAAGAACCACGGGG